CAAATATATTTTCTTACAATTGTCATGCCTCCTTTAAACTTTAGACAATTAATGTATCACATTTTTGAAGGATGCATTTGTAGATCAATCTCCTTATACCTGCTAATATTTACTTTTTTAGAGCATCTATGATACACACATCGGCCTCAGTGGCATGGCCTTACTACCCTGGGAGCCAAATAAGCTGTCTGTCACCAAGCGCATCCAGGATTTTATGTCCTCTAATGTGATCTGTCTGCGTCCTGTTATGCGTGTTCGTGATTTGATGACCACTGTGGTCAATAATTTTCATCACGCTTTTCCTATTGTCGTTGGCTCGTTATGTGAAACCAGACCTGCCTATGGCAAACTCATCGGACTCATATCTTCCGAGCACTTAGCGATGTTGCTGAAAAAAAAAGTTAGCTACATATCCACCCCTTCATACTTTTGACACTTTCTTAGGCTATTGATGCCAAATTTGTTTATTGTAAATCGGATGGCGCTAGTTATGAGGGGATATTATAGAATTAGCTCATAAACCTCCATGTCCCTTGTCCTATTTATTACTTTGTGATAGAATAGACTTAATAGAGAGTTACTCCATTGTTTCAACGTTGGTTACTTTTTCAATCTCATTTTCAAGTGCATCCCTTTATTTCTTTTTCCTTTAGTTAAAGCTGATTTCGAGACTATTAGTAATTCTTGACTAAAAATCTTAGGTCGCTTAAGGTTTCGTAGAGGCTGATAGTTGAGTTTACTCAAAATTAGTTGAGCAAGGCTTCACGATTTCACTGGATCTCACTTAGTCTTGCCTCCTAAAACATTTACTCATCTAGAGTGAGTTGCAATTTCCACTTTGTTCACATATCCTCTGTACCCAGTGTTGGTTTTAATATCGGATCATGAGTATCCTGGCGATGTTACCAGTCCACTATATGGCCACGAGTGTCAGTAATTCTCAAGACTAATGCGACATTTAAGGCAAGCTGGGCCTTTGCTATCACTCAGGCTACTCACGATCGGTTATTGAATCCCGCTGGCAGTGGGAAACCTCAATTTTCAACCCTTAACTCACTTTAGACGACCTAGGGTGACTAAACTCTAGTTCTCCTTCTCACTCTCTCAGATACAAAGATTTATGAGATAATTTTGTACAAACCTGAAGCAAACCAAATTAAATGAAACACGGCTTTATGCTTCGGTTAATAATGCCTGCTATTAGTTGGTCGACATAAATAATAATAATTCGCTGCTTACTTTAGGGATGAGGATTTACCACTCGATATGGATAATAATAGCGCCCTTATTTCACTAATCTATATTAACGTATCGAAATGGCGGGCCTTATCTTATTGCTTAAACATAACTGTAACAACAGATACTTAATCGAAGGTATGAAGACCAAAATGGTGTAGTCGCACTCTCCTTTCGTTGTATAGAGGCTGTTTCACCTTGTTTTCGCAACATGGTCATATTGGTAGGAAGACTTAGAGGTACGCACCTAGTCCGAAGTCCATTGTCTGCATGATAGTTTCTAAAGTTGAACAGTGGACGTGGTAATTTCCCCAACGTTTCGTTGGCATCTTCAGAGACTTTTGTTTTTGACTAGTTGTTGTATGGTGGTCTCACTGACGATGCCGACTACGATGCCGGCAAAACGGTTAAGAATGTACCACGTCCACGGTTCAACTTTGCAAATGATCATGCAGACAATGGATTCCGGACTAGTTGCGTTACTCTGAGTCTTCCTATCAATATGACTATGTTGCGAAAACAAGGTCAAACAACCTCTAAACAGATATTTAAGATCGTTATTGAGCTACTATCAACATAATGTGTGTGAGGAGCTTTTTTATTTTGCTAAGGTATTTAATATCTTTCGTTTTGTGCCAATCTATTCTTGGTTGATTTTGTCAATGTTTTGGGATTAATCCATTATTAAATATTCTGAATAAATGTTGTGTAGTATTGCTTCTATCCGTAAAAAGCAT